TTTGCTTTTTCATGAATACTGTGAGGAAATTTCTCTTGTCAGGTTAAATATGTATTCAACCAAGTACTAATTTTTTATGTTTTTTTTTTCCTAGCCTTTATCATTAATAGGAGAAATAAAAAATTCAGATTTAAACTGAAAACGAATTCCATTGAATGCATCTTTAATAATGTAATTCCCTTGACGGAATAGCATGTACTATCAACCCTTTTTTTTTTTTCAAACTTGGCACAACTGACAGCCATGTATATTACAATTGAATAACTACAATAAAAAGATGGAGTCACCGTGCTTGTTTTCGTCTTGCGTGCCCTTTATTCTGTGTTTTGCGTACGTGATCATACGAATCCGAGTTCGATTTGGAATCTACAGTGGGTATTTGCCGAACTGTGTTTTTCAAAAAGTATCAAAATTACGGGCGAAATTTGCAAATAAAGTCCAAAATTTTGAAAAAGGAAAGGGTCACAGTTCTTGTTTCTTTGCAACAAGACAAAACAAGGAACAATTTCGCCTTGAAATGAGAAGGGACTCACATTATAGCTTGCTTCAGTTGGTGTTAAATAGAATTTAATGGAGCTGAAACCCATTGTAAAATAAATGGTACGCACTTTTGGCATCCTACTGTTGAACAGTTACAACTTACTGATATTCCCAGCCACAACAATAGGCCAAGTCTCTGTTTCAAAGCGAAGCTAAGTGCGAAGCCATTGATATGAAAATGACGTTTTATTCTCATGCAAATGAAACTCATTATCGCAAGAAAGGTTTTGCACTCAGCCTCGGTTTGAAAATGAGAGTTTTTGGAACTCGCAAATGGCCTGTTTGCCGTCTGTCCCCTTCGAATTCAGTATCGCGATCAAATGTGGCTAGTGTCTATACAGCTGAAAATATCCGTGATCAGAACATGTAAATTTTTTTATTTCATAATTTTTTTCTAAAATTATAATAGAATATGTGTACTTTTTTCGTTTTATCGATTGAAGCCTTTCGCTTTCAGAGGAGTTTCTGACCGTATATTTTCGTAGGAATATCCTTTAGAGTAGAAGGAATCCGGACTGCCGAGTGTCTTTTCTTGCAGGTTGTTTTTCTTACATTTCAACTGTTGTACCTATTTGCATACGGTTCTTTTGGACAGAAATAGCTGCTTCTAAAGATAAAATTAAAAACAACGAACGAAACGATCAGAATGAAATTTTCAGATGTTGTTGACGTATATTTCTCTTTTAATATTTATAGTACTCTTGAATTGGACCGGCAAAAGGGTAGGATAGCATAAATCTCTTAAAACCAAAGGCGGCCGGGTTCCCTTGAACTTATCATTATCCTAACGTATTCCCAATACCGACTGTAAAGATAATATTTGTACGTTGTTGTGGGCTCATTAACACACGGCACACGATTAGTCACCGTTATAACTATTTGATAAGTTATTGCCTTTTTGACTATATATCCCTGAATGGATCATGCACCTGCCGGCCTATAAAAATAATACTTCTCTTTTTGGAGAATTCTAGAAAGAAAGTGATTAGAAGAAACAACAAGCATCACATTAAAAAAGAAGGATTTAAAAAATAAGTTTAAACCCATTTTATTCAAACAATAGCGTGCAATTCTGGACGTTCGATTCCTTTTATCCTTTTTGAATAAGCTTCAGTTAGACGTCACGTTTATGTCAAACGGCTAACGTGTATTTGTGCCAGGTGACTAAGGTTCCACTTTATTTGCCGTTTATTCATTACCTCTACACATAAATTAGTAGTTTCACGCAATTTTTTATCCATAGAAGTTGCTTTGAACTTTTTTTAGCTGCTCATTTTCTATATTGACAAATTCTCAACTTGAATCTGATGTTTGCCGTTTGCCGTATACGTAAACTTTAAACTCTCTAATTTCGGTACGTGCCTTGCCCGCTTGTAAATTGAAGTTATATATTTATTGATCGTCAGCTTGCTGATAATAGGTTTTCTCCGCGGTGACAAGCGGGTCGATTCCTCTACTAATTCAGCTTTTTATGTAATGGCTCAAAACGTTTATTTGTGAAATGACTGGCGCCAACTGTTAAATACTGGATTTGTCCGATCTACAGTTTAACCGTTTATTTATTCATTAATTTTTTTTGCATGTTATGCCAGTAAACTGCTATTATTATTATTATTATTATTATTATTATTATTATTATTATTATTATTATTATTATTATTACTATTTTTCTTTCTTCATTATTCCTTTATTTTCAACTGCTTCGAATGGTTATTTAAGTTGACAAAGTAAACTACTTGCGATTTCACCGACCACTCAGCTGCTGTAAACGTTGTCCCTGTCTTTGAAACTGATATAATGGTTTTCAGGCCTTATCAATGAGCATCATCATTTAAAGTTACCAATAAACTCATGGAAAAAAAGATTACTAACAACATTTATTTTTGTCTCTTGCACACTTTTAATTATCTTTCTTTTTTTTCGTTCACTTTTTTTTTTACATTTGACAGTCAACTCTGTCTCTTAGCTTTTGCCATGGTGTACCGATTAACTCAGGTCGCCAACCGGGTTCCCTCTCATTTTTCGCATTCAAGCTCGCGTGCCATTCGGCATATGCTTCTTGTGGATAACGGTTGTTCCCCCTTTCAAAAAAAGAGTAACAGACAAAGGATTTGCAATGAGATTGTCTTTATATCTGATATAGACACGGTTAAACTTTACGTACAATTTTTTAGACCAACTACATATCTAAATATTACTGCAAAAATTAGTTGAGTGGTCGCTTACAAGAGCTTAAAAACAAAGAAAAATTCCGATTGGGTAATCCCAAACGTGGTCGCGGTCGCTTACGAGAGCTTTTCATCACAAAAAGTTTAAGTCAAATTTTAAACGGGGTTTCACAAAGGCGGTCGTAACTAGAGCTAGTCGGTTACGAGAGTGGTCGCAAGGAGAGCCTCGAATGTAATCTTCTGGGCCGAGTTGTTCAAAGCTGGGTTAAGATAACCCGGGGTTATTGCAAGATTTGCGTTCAGATTTGGAAAGTTAAAAAGCATTTCAGTTTAAATTCTTTTGTCTACAAGTTGATGATTGGAAGCTCTAAAAATAACAGGGAAAATTATCCGAGAAAATGCTTTTGAACACAAAAAGAAACCCGGATTAAGTTTAACCCCTGGTTAAGCGCTAATCGGCCTTCGAACAACTCGGCCCTGGTGCAAAACACACAAAACCCCAGGGGGTGCTTATACGGGTAGACTCCGGGGTCTAACCCCTTACCATTTTTATATACCATTTTTGATGGAAATACCCCTTTCATATACCTTTCAATAACAAATGGTATCCCTTTCACATACCTTTGTTTAGAACTTTGCATCCCTTTTAACTGCTGTTGCACTGTCATTTAAATATGAATAAATCAAAAACCAGGAGATTTTCTCGACTTTTTCTCTGCTATAAAATTAATCCTCGTAAGCCCTTTTTGATCTTTTAACAAACCAAAATGACAGGTTTCTGTACCCTTTCATATAACTGAAGCCAGAAAAACGTAGACCATAGACCATTATAGTGAGTACGCCCAGGGACCGGTACAACTCTTAAGCCTGCTTTTCACTGGCGCATAAGCATAAGCATAAGGACATACGCACACGCAGAATGGTATATTTGACTCAATTCTCGATACCAGCTCTCCTCGATCCGATGATAAACAAGATGACGGACAAAGCATTCGCCATATTGCTTTTGATATGTTCGCATGAGGTCTGGGTCAAAGTCACCTATGATTGGTCCACGGCCTTGTGCTTATGCTTGTGCTTATGTCGACCCAGTTTTCACAAGCCAAAGCTACGGTATAAGCATAAGCATAAGCACAAGAACAACGAACTTTACAATGTCTGTTTTTCTTTTGCTTAATGCTTATGTCGACCCAGTTTTCTCTTGCTTACACATGTGCTTGTGCTTGTGCTTATCATTATGTTTATGCGCTAGTGAAAACCAGCCTTTAGGGCCTGATAGATGTCAAGAGTCATAGGTGCGCTTTCAGTATACACCACAATGAAAAAAGGGCCTCCCTTCACTCAAAAAATAAGTCCAAATAAAAGGACAAATATAATGTGAGGGGAAGACACTGAAGGGAGTTTGATCATTTAAACAATTGTTGCGTTAAACTTAAATTACAAGATACCATGCTGAGCGCAATAAAAACTACAAAAAAGGGAGATAGAACCTTTTTTTTAATTCTTATAAATACACTCTTGCCGCCGACAAACTGAATTTAATTAATATAATCTCCACATTTGAATGATCGCTGATCACTTCGGGAAAACTCATGCCACTAACTTATCGCCGTTATTCATTAATTCCGTTTAACGTAAATTTATGCAAAAACAAAAAATAGACAAAAATACAAACAATAAAATAATGCTTTTCTATGACTTTCTGTACACAGGTTCAGGCTAAAATTGTTAGTTGCAACTGTAGCTTACAAGGATGTTTGGACACTTTTAGTTTACACAAGCGTTCCTTGAGCACAAAATAGAATAGCTTGTTCGGTGCTGTGTTAACAAACATCTGTCAACTGACAAACGGCTTACGCTACGAATTTACCGTAATTTTCTTGGAAGAAAGTCTTTCGGTCAGTCTAAACAACTCGTGGCTCCCTGTTTTGAGTTTGTTAAACACTTTTTTTGGTGTTTGAATCTCAGGTGAAACACCCCTCGTATATTTTGGACCTTACTTTTATAACATTCCAGAAAAGATATACAAAATACAGTCGTTTAAAACTTATATTATTTTCAGACCCTTTTAGTGCGCACTGCTACATTTCTTTAAATGTTTTCAGGCTCCCCCTTGTTTGTAAGGCTACCAATAAACTCATGAAAGAAAGACTGAAAGATAACTAACAACGTTTTTTGTCTCTTGTACACGTTTATTTAACTTTCTCTCTTTTTTTAACACTTGACAGTCAACTCGTCACTTAGCTTTTGCCAAGTGTACCGCTTAACTTAGGTCGCCAAGCCAGTTCACTCTCATTTTTTGCAGTTGAGCTCGCGTGCCATTCGGCATATGTTTCTGGCTGACAATGGTTGATCCTCCTTAAAAAAATGGATAAGAAACAAAAAAATTAGCAACCCATAAGGATGTCTCCCAGAAAGCCTTGTTTTATTCTAGTTCCATTTTGACTACAAACTTACAGTTGATTATTTAAAGAACTATTTGATTCATACATGAAATGCTAATTAATCACGTGAAGATCACACTCTGACGAAAACTTGAAAGAGCCAGTCTAGAACAAAAGCGTGGGAAAAAGGTTTCATACTCGATTGTCCTCTTAAAAAGCAGTAATGCAACAGGCATTTAATCAAATGTCACGTGGATAAAGACGATGCGTTGCATAAACTATTTCCTTTTATTTCGCAGGAGACAGGGGGGGGGGGGGGGGGGGGGGGGGGGTGGTCTGCCCTTGCCAGTCTTTCAAAACAAATGGCACGTGATTTTTTTGTCCTTTTACAAATCATCACACATTTTTATCTTTTGAGTTAGATATTCACCTGCATTGACAGCTCCACGTCTGTTGATTTATATCCTGATGTGTCGGCGTCCTTCCTGGCTGGTTTCTAAAATCAAAGCGAAAGGTAAATTTACATATATTTTGCAAATTCCAAGATGCTTTGAAACACGACAAAGTTTCAAACATTTTTTGAACGTGAATTAAAGAAGTGGAGCCGAAGGCATGAAGTTTAAAAGTAATTGGCCAAACTAAAGATTATGCCGTTCAAGTTTCCATTAGGCGTTCCTTAAGGGCTTTACCCATTTAAAGAAGGTTTTATCATCTGTAGTTCGAAATTTAAAAGTCAAAAAACTTTGGATCTTTGCAAAAGATTTTTTGTTGTTTCTCCCCTAAAGATGTTGAGTTTGCTGTCTAAAATCAAATATCTGCGTTGAAAGTATGTGACTTAAAGTCCCTCGGTTTCATGTTTTTGTCCAGAACCCATCGGCAGTACCGACGTAAGGTTTCCATTTGATGTTTCTTAATCGCTTAACCCATTTAATTCAAAGAAGGTTTTCATCTATCACGAAAGCAACAATAAACTTTGGGTAATATTCGAAAAGATTTCTTGTTGGTTTTCCCATATAAAGATATTGACTTGCTTAAATAACTGCTTAATATCGTAATTCTGCTCTGAAAGTAGGTGACTTTTTTTTTGTCCAGAAACTCTTCTCTTCTCGCCCGGCAGTTTTATTCTTCCTTGGACGATTCGAGCACAGGCACATCAAATATTGCACAGTTTGGAAACGACGCGGCGTTCGCAGCGAAAAATAGCTGTGAAATTGGAAATCGCAACAAGATTGCAACACGAATCTCACTAAAGATTTAGACTCCCGTGAATGGGCCTTAAGGTGCCTGGTTGTCGCTATCAACTCATGCAACTGCGTACATTCGTATAATCTGAGATAGCCAGAAGGATACTTCTTAAGTCGTCCCTACGTTGACGGATTTTGTCAAGAGAGTTTAAACAAGAGAACGGGATCTCAGTCAGATCGGATTTCCCCGTAACATGTGCTTAAATGGTACAAGAACGGCTCCTAAGTAATTCGAGCTTTTCATTATTAAAAATTGGACGTGACCAAATTACGAACATGAAGGCACCACGGACCCATGTTCTGGGTGAGCTATACCCCCACTATAAATTTGGCCGGGAATCGCGCAAGCCAGCGCCACGAATCCAAAATATGCTCGGCAGTATCTGACCTGTGCCAGTCAGGTAACATGGACTGTAACTTTTTGTGGGTGAAATGTTTGTCTTGGAGATTTACTTACCGTTTGTTCTTTCCCCCCATTTTTTTTCGGCGCCCTGCCATGAGGACCCATAGCGTTTATCTCCAACACTGAAGAAATGACTATCAAAATAATACAAAACAAAGCCATCTTTCCCGTCATCTTGACGCTTTGAGCTTAAGGATGTAGTGACTATTTTGCCCGAATTGCTTCTCTTTTTAAACTGCAGTTTTGCTACCTGTCATCATCAGCTCCGTAATTCGCAAAAATTCATTAATTTTATGAATATAGTTAAACACCAACCAATTAGAGTAAAGTTAGTCCCTTAAACCGTTGTTATCTATTTATATAAACCTTCTCTTTATCAGCTGCCGAGCAGATGGAAGGTGAACACGGAAAAATCGATATGATTTGTCCCAGTTTTTGTCAGTCCCTTTGAACCTGTGAAAAGTATTCCTTGGCTGTCTCAAATGATATTAATGAAAAAAAAAACATATATACTTTTGTCCTTTTTTTTTTGTCATTTAATATTAACACTTATAGCTCACGGCATGATCATGAAACTCCAAACGTTAATTATTTGCTCAGTAGCATCATTATTTGCGGCCGACACAATTTTTTTCATCTTTTTTAATTTGTCTAAAACACGCTCTACATTATTGCCGGGAATAGAGTACTAAAGTGTGACGTCATAAAAATGAAATTTCCGAAATTATGGGATTTGTCAGGATATTCTGAAAGAACAATGTCCAAGAGGCCTACTTGCC